AGCACACACACACATTTACATGTGTTTTAGGGATTCCTGAGCTCCTTAAAGTTGGTTGACAGTCTCCAAGTTACGAATTCCTGCCCTAATTAAAGCTTTTCTAGTTGAAAATTTCCCAGGTGGTTGAGACCAAGAGTATTCCATTACTCAATTAAATAACAGAATTTCAGAACCTGAAAATGAAGTCGAGATCTATGCTTCAAATATCTGCAAAGGTCAATTGTAGCTTTTTGCTTATTGGTAGTGGTGGAACTCCTTTCAAACGAAATCTTCTGCAGAACATATTTAAAACAGATAAACATAAAACGATTCTGCTCCCAACAAAAAGACATAACAACTGTATGTGGGGATGAATATCCTAACCACTTTGATTTGACCATTATATATTGAATACATGTATTACAATACCACTCTGTATACCATACATATGTACAATTATTACATGCCAACCAAAAATAGAAGGAAAAAATAAAGCTATTGTAATTGATAAAGATGCCAGACACCTGGATTCCCATTGTTCAGCTGCCCTGATGGTACTTCTGACTCTGAGGACACTGCCCTGGGCCTGCTCCACTGGTCTACCAAGCCACACTTGGGCTGCTTGTCACTTGTCACTATCTCTTGGGCTGTTCAGAGAAACTTAACACCCCAGAACATACCTATTTCTTGGCCCAGCTGGGAGGACTTCAGAGATCCCGCTGAGGAGACAACAGCGCACCTGCCCCAAGGCCCAGCCTTGATCCTAATGTTCTCCTTGGGCAGGTAACCCTCCCACAGGGAGGTGTTGAAGGGAAAACCTGTGGCCTCCACCATGGACACATTCACGTGGTCCCGGAGGTGACAGCGCAGGGCCTCTGCACTGAACTTGACACCTGGCCCAGGCCCCTTACAGGACACTTTGTACTTGTTCATGTTGAGATAGTTCTTCCAGACCTTCTGCAGCCTGGGGATAAGGTTTTTGGAAGAGCTGTCCTTGTTCCACACGAAAAAGGAGGCCTCTGGTTTAGCCTTGGCTGAGCCCCTGACACCGCTGAGGGCCTGGCTGCCTCTGTGGGGGTCCTGGGTGCTGCTCAAGGACGCAGACTGGGACTCAGACCCTGCGGCTGGTTTCCCCAGATACTTTAATGCCTGGAATTCCTTGGCTGGCAATTTAAAGGAATTATAGAAACTCCCTTTCTTCTTTTCCTTCCATAGACAGATGACTGCGAACAGGAGAAAAGCCAGGACACAGCAGCTGAATTTTTTCTTCAGGTTGGTATGAATCATAATGAAGATGTGTTCAGGAAAGCCACTTCGTTCTTAGCAGGAAAACAAGCCTTTAAAAAGTGGGACAAGGAAAAAGAAGTGATGTAAAGAAAATCCTCAAGTGGCCTGAGGTTGGGGCAACGGCCCAAGCAATGGACTGTGGAGGCTTGAATTCCAGCCCTGGTCCACCTCCCACCACCTGGGCAACCCTAGGCAGTTCTCAAAACCTCCAGCCTCAGTGTGGGCTTTGAATGCAGAGAGCATTCCCTCAGACACTCCCTTCTTCCTCTCTGAGCCATGAACACGTTCTACGTCTTTCCACCATTAATTTTTATAGCTTGAACCTTAGTTTCTTGTTGCCCTGACTGCACTCAGGTTCTTAAAATCGGAAACCATATCTTAGACATCATTTGGTTCCTAGAGCCTTAAGCCATGATATAAAGGCAGGCATGCTCGAGAAAAGGATACAAAGATAGAGCAGTTTGCCCTGTCTACATCACAGAACCCAAACTCTCTAAAATCTTAAGTGGTCTAGCATTCTTTTAAAATAGCTAGAAAGAGCTCTCTTGTGATGCATGATGCCCCAGATTGCGGTGCATCTCTCTAGGGGCTGTGATGTTGGACTCTTGCCTGAGAAGAAGACTAAGCCTTAGACTCAGTTTTGTGCAGCGCCCCCACCCAAGAGCACTACTGAAACAGGAAGGTGACTCGCCTCATGGTAGAGGGTAGGAAATCTGGGCAAAATAGCAGACATAGCCAATTAAAGAAATAGATTTTTATTTTATTTTATTTCATCATAACCAGGACCACCATGAGGCACCCTCCACAGAGCACCATGCATACCATAGTCTAATTTAAAGGGCATCTCCTGAGCTGTGCAGAAGGGCCTTGGCCACTGCTAGCCATGAATGAGGTGTTACGTAGCATCTCCACTATCACAGATGAGCAACTTGTGTCTCTCAGAGGTTAAGGGAAACGCCCACGATCACAGAGCTGAAGAGAGGTTTGCACTGAGGTTCAAATCTGAGCACACTTGATTCCATAACCCACATCCTTTCCACTACATCACATGCAGAACTGCTGAAAGTTCTGGGAAATAGATTTTACTAAGCAAATAGCACCTGAATAGCTCTCCTTCTATCTGGGTAAAGACCTACTTTGTTTTCCCAGAATTTATTGTGTAACCGAATGGACACTGGAAGCACTTTGAACTCAAACAATGTCTGCATCTTTTAGAAAACATTACATTCTTTCCTCAACCACTAGCTTTATTTGCTATAATGAGTCAAAGCAACTGCCACCAGGGTTTTGCATTAGGGGTCCAAAATCCCTTCCCATGGAGCTACGCCTAAGGATGTCTGGGACAAGGTAGTAGAATGTGGGACTGGGTATTTACAAAGGCTGGGTTCTTGTTCTCATTTTTGTTGACCCTGGGCAAGTCACTTCACATTTCTACCCCTAAGTTTCTATAGAATAATCACATGTATCTCGTCCTGTCTGGTGCACAGAGTGTTGGGAGCACCAAACAAGAAAATGATGTTGATGCACTTGAAACAGGTAAGCAGAAAGGCACAGGAGGTATCTGAGTGCAGGGGCATAGCCTCTCGGCACAGGGGCCCTTGTGGGGTCAATGTGGCAGTGGAAGATGGCAGAGTGCTGTACCAGCCATCACTTATCAGCCTCAGCTCAGGCTCTGCATCTGAGATTCTTTCATTAACTGGCATCCAGACAATTCCTGGAAGCCACTGTCAGTACCAAGTGGTACTGGCCACTCTCCCAGACCTCAGGAAGCAGTGGCTCTGGGGAAGATGGGTTCCCACCTTGTACTGCTAAAATTTTGGAAGGAGTGAAATGTACATAGAGAAAGAAAAATTCAGACATAAGATCATGACATGGGAGGTAGGGTATTGTTGTATTATTAGAAAACCAAGGAATTCCATTAGCACAGATCCCCAACACAGCTACTCACATGGCCACAGGACAGCTGAAGGAGAACCAGAGGAGAGGGAAAGCAGCATGGGAGGAGGGCCTGCCACCGTGTGGCCCTCCACCTGGACTGTCCCTTGAGTTTTACCATAACACTATGGTTGAGATATGGACAATCCTATTTTAGGAAATGAAGAAAATGGGGATTAGCAAGGTTGCCAGGGTTTCTCCAAGGTCACTAGCTAATCAGTGTTAGAAGCAGGATTCCAAGCCAGGTCTGTCTGACTCTAGAAGTTCATGGTCTTTCCACTAAAAGACAGGCATCGGTGATGAGTGGCAGTGAAAAGTCAGTGTTAACCCAACAGGACTCAGAACTCAGGGTCCCTAGAGAGGAGGACTCGATCTGTCAGGCAGGTGCACACAGCCACCTCCACCACCAGCTCTGTGCCATCCATCACCACCGTGCCACTTGGGAGACTCTTTCTCCTTAATCAGGTCTCAGGAACCCACTAGCATCAGCAGAGCAGATTTTATGACTCTATTTATAGCTGAAGATAGTGACATTTTACAAATGTAAGTTAATTTTCAAACTTGCACTTGTGATTTGGAAATAGTGGACTTACAACTTGACTTTTGCATGTCTGAGTGAAAGAGATGGAGGAAGGGGCCTGATTCAGCACCAGGGGGTAAGGCACAGGGAGGAACTGCCCAGCACCTCTCCAAGGCAGAGGTTTCTCAGGAAAGAAGAGTACTCCCAAACAGCCAGGCCCAAAAACTGCCCCGCAATCACCAGATGGCCTCAGCCTTCACAGCCTGTTGCTTGTCGTGGCCTCAGAGCACTCATGTGAAACCCCATATCAGAGCTCACGGGTTACCTAGGCGCCACCCTCGGTTGAGGCTCCAAGTCTACCAGGTGGCTGGAGTTTCTGCTCACAGCACCTAGCACTGCAAGACGCCTTTCTCATCTCCCAGGCTGCTCTAAGGACACAGAGCCTGAAGAAGTTTCACCTAAACCAGCCTAAATGAGGAAAAACAGTAGTAAGTTTGTCTCCACAAATTCTTTGGAAAAACACACCACATTTCGAATTTTCCAACCACACCAGACGTGTTTCTTCAGCCTCCAGGTATGTGCCCGGCTGCGTTCTCTCCCCTTGTCCATCTGCCTGTTAGCTCCAACAGCATTACCCGTCTGCTTCTGCAGGTTGGTGAAGATCACCTCCCCTTGGGCACTATCCCTGCTCCCTGCTGCTGGCGACCAGTGCTCTGTAATGTTTGCTGTTCATGCCTGACTCACTCCTAAGAACTCCTGGCATCATTTCTGAAGCCCCAGTCCCCAGCGTATGTCTGAAACAGAGTAGGTTGTCAATAAAGGATTACTGAACTGATAAGACTGTATCAACAAATCCCTACCATCACAGTGAGGCTTCTAGAAGAAGAATACGGCAATTCACATTAGCACCTGCAGAGACCAAGCCAACACGGAGCCAGCAGAAAGAAATGCTCAAAGGAAAGAATCTTGCCCGGATCCACTCATCACAGTGCCTGGAACGTAGCGGGTGCTTAAAGATGGTTGAACGAATTACAGAAAAACTCTCATCTTAGAATTGTAGCTTACAGAAATGGACAACTACCTATCTCCCTCCCCAGTCCCTCTCAATAGTAGTCAAAAAGGACTTAAAAAACAAACAAACCAACAAAAACCATAAAGAAGACAGCAAAGCCAGAACCGGACACTGAGATCCTGAAACTCCTGGGCAGCACACTGCACCACTCCATTTTTTATTCTGGAATGAACCCCTTTTCTAGCCCCGCCTCTAGGTGCTCCTTACCTGCTTCTGGCTGATCTCCCTCCAGGTCCTCAGGAACTATCCCAGTGCTCCATGGGAGGGAGGCTTGCTTTATCAGGCCTGGAGGCCAAGGCTCATTTTTCTTAGGATGATCAAAAAACATCTGCAAAGGCAAAAAAGAGAGAGAGAGAGAAGAGAGAAGGTGAGAGCCATTTACCAGCAGAGGCAGGGTTAAACATTAATCAGATGGGGAGAGCTTCTGCAGTCCTGGGCTGGGACTAAATCTGGGGAGCACTGGGGGCTCAGAAAAGACAGAAGAGCCTCTTATAGGTGTAATGCTTTTCATCCGTGAACAGCACAGAGAGCCCAGAAATAGACGCCAAGTAAGAATGACTAGAAAGATAAAGCAGGTACCAGCTGACCCACCCAAGAAGAACAATGGTTCAATCTCTGGTTCATCCCAGAGAAAACTCCAGACAGATTTTTTTAAAAAATATTTATTTTCAAACAATATTTAATGATACATAAAAGTTTAATCAGAATTTTACCTGAAAAAAAACTGTGAATACTATCCAAATTCAGAATAAAAAAAGTACATTAAAAAATGCACATGAAAAGAGAAAATATTAGAAAAGAATGCACCCAGGATGGTAGACTAATAGGTGTTTTCATTTCCTAGAACTTTATTATTTATATTCCAAAATTTCTAAAATGTGCATGCATTTATTCTTTAAGTTTTCAAAATATGAAAAACATGAATAAAGAAAGCTGGATCTATCATTCTGTCTTTGTCAGCTCTTTCTTCTTTTGATGCAGTGTAGAAAAATAGCAAAGAAAGAAGTTGAATACAGTCACTTGCAAGAGAAGTCCAACTGCTGTACGATGAAAAACATCATAACTACAACAAGAAGGAAAATAAGGGTCGCGGTCTGAAAAGGATTGATAAGCCTCCCCAAATAAAGAAGCAATTGGCGTGAACAGACAAGTCACAAAATAAAATACGCAGTTCACGAGCATATGATGTTATGGTTAATCTTTAGAGAGGCCTGAGAAAGGCAGCTAGAATAATAAGATATTAGTTTGCAGTATTTATATTGATCACAATTTTCAAAATGATTCATACTCATTGCTGGTCAGATGGTAGTGAAATTCGTATGCATTCAAAGGAGAAATGTAAATGAATTGCACCTTTCCAGAAAGTATTCAAGACATAGAATGAAAAGCTCATGACTACTGACCAAGTTTGAAGAGTGAATAAAGAATTCAAAAAAAAAAAAAGGAGATTATATACTTCAGTTTTGTCAGATGTAAAATGATTCCATACCTTACGTAATTGTGGTAAGAATTGAAAGAGAATGAAGAAAATAAGTAATGTGAGTTCCATAAAGCGATATGTCATACGTGTAAGAAAGAAAAGTTTTTCATTTCAAATTGACTTATATTGGTGAAAATCTGTTAACATCTAAGCTTCCAGCAATAAGGAAAAAGCTAAACTATGGTACATCCACTTGAGAAAAAATATATAATGGTGTATGAATTTATATAGTAATAGAGAAGAAAATCCTTAAAATATTATATGAAAAGCAAAATAGAAAATGTTACCTGTGCACACAACAGTGACTAAAAGTTACAAATGTCCAAATATCTAGAATGTAAATGGTTAGACCTGAAAGCAGGTAGTCAGCAAACTGATTCACTTTCATCGGTATGACTTCCTTTGTTATTCTCATTATGTTAGCTGAATAATTAAGGCAAAATTATTGGGGGCAATACTGAAAATACATTACAACCTTATGTATCAATTTGCACAATATTGGGTTGGCCTTGAGGCCTGTCCTAAGAGACCTAGCATTCCTAGAACCAAGAGGAAGCACGTGGCCATACTGGCTTTACCCTACAAATGAGGAGAAAATCCTCTGTTGAAGCTTAGGAGTTCAGGTTGAGAGAACCCCAGCTTTCGCTGACCAGGAGGCAGGTAGGCAGGCCCTAGGCATAAGCTCCAAGGCAAGAATGAGAAATGCCATTCTTTCCTTGTCAAAAAATTCTGGCTCTTCTTAGCAGCTCAGAGAAGAACTGGTTCCTAGGCAGCCTCCTTGGAAAGTCAGAAAATATCTCTGATATCTATCCCTCTTTTGGCGGTGTGAGTTTCCTCTGCGGCATGAGCATTTTTAATTATGTATGCATTCATATTGGTATTTGATTACTGTCTATCCCTGTCTACTAAAAATGTAAGCTCCAAGAGTAGGAGCTTACATTTCCAGTGGGTATCTCTAGATGCTAGATGAGTGTCAGCACATAGTAGGTGCTCAACAAATATTTGCTGAAAAAATAATGGTGGGAAGGTTGCTAGCTCTTATCTCGGGCATCACTGATGCAAGAGGCTCTTTCTCAGCCTCCTACACAGAAGGCTGCGGGTAGTCATTGACCTTTGCATGACAGCTATTGCCGGTGAATGCAGATTCCCTGCCATCTCCCAGTGCAGGAGCTGCTAGGACATGAGACTTTCATTTGAGTTCAACCCACAGACATCAGAAGAGTGCACTGATCCCCAGCTCTTCCTTCCTCAAGTCAACTGTATTTGCTGGGAAAGACTTGCCCTCTACCAAGATAAAAAATCACTCCCCACTTTTAGTTTGCAAAAAAAACCAACCTGCTGAAACAAAAGTGCTGCAACTGTCTTATCTAGATCTACCATAGGTGATGAGGGCCTTTCAAAAATAGTCACTGCTGCTGCTGAGCCAGCAACACTGGTGATCTTCAACCAGATAAAGAAGTGGTAACAGAACCCCCAACTTTCTGGGTGAAAAACTTCAGTAATCACAATAAAATAGCTACTGTTTATTTAGTACTATCTATGTGCTAAGCACTGATTGTTAAGAATGCAAGCTTTAGAATCAGACTGATCAAGGCAAGAGCACTAACTCTGCCTCTGAGCAGATATTCAACCTTCGGCAAGTTACTCAATCCTAAGACTCAAGACTTAGCACTTCTTTATCTTAAAATGAAAATCATAATAACAGGTCCTGTCTCATAGGTTATTTACAGATTCAAGTAAGACAATACACCTAAAGGGATTGCAAGTATCTGTGACAAGTATTTTACACATTATTTACTCCTGACCACCGCACCCTCTGTGGATACCATTACTAGCTCCATTATACAAATGGGGAAACTGAGACAGAGAACACAAATAACTTGCCCAGATTTAGTCAAGTGGCACTCCAAATGTCCCAGGCCTTTTCATGCCTTTGTAGCTCTACATGTGACGTTCTTTCTGCTAGGCATGTCTTTTCCCACCCTGTTTCCATAGGGCCACACCCACCCAGCCTCCAATATCAGCTCAGATGCCCCTTGACTCTGAAATCTTTCTTGACCCCACAGAGATCAATATGACCCACAGTTCCTGTTCTGCCCTCAGCAGTCTAGACAACAGTTATCAGCCTGCAGGCCCACCCTGACCAGATTGAGAATTTAAAACATATCTCTGGTCCCCTGCATCCAGCTAGGCTTTGGGCCATGACTAGGAAATGCTCAGTCATGTCTGAATGAAAAAACGAAGCTACCTCCTAACACTATCCTGCCCCAACCAGTGGCCTTTGAATACTAGATCCCCCCCACCCAACCCTACCCATCACACTCGATTGCTGGCATCTCCTTCACAGCACAGTCACTACAGATGTTCACTTGTTTGTACTGAATGCCAGGGAATTTACCACCTCCCCGGATGGCATGCAGCTGTGAGAGTAGCTCTCCCTCTCAGAAAGATCCTAAAATCAAGGAAAACCAATTTCCTATAAAAATAAACCCAGTGGTTTAAGCTCTATTCTCTCAAGCTACACTGACTCCAATGGAGAATCTCTAACACTTGTTGAGCTCATTTACAAACTTCATGTGCATGGACTCATTTTCTCCTTGCAGCAACCCTGTGCAGGCGACACCACCACCACCCACTACCCCAGACCCCTTGCCAAGACCATCTTCACTCCCACCTAGGAAACTCTTCTTTACTCCTTAAATCAGGGGTTCTCAACCTGTGGGTTCCGACCCCTTTGTAACAGTGAAAATACATCCTGCATATCAGATATTTACATTACGATTCATAACAGTAGCAAAATTACAGTTACGAAGTAGCAAAGAAAATAATTTTATGGTTGGGGGTCACCACAATGTGAGGACTGTATTAAAGGGTCACAGCATTAGGAAGGTTGAGAACCACTGCCTTAGCTATTTTAGCTCCTGGCTTACTATAACTCTCCTCAATATTATTTCTGTCATAACTTACAGTGATATTAATATCTACGATAGGAAAGCCCAGTCCTCTGCCTTCACAGTTCTTTGATCTCCGCAATCCCAAGGATTGGGACCTCAGCCACTCACTCCCAGGCTCATGTCTCGGATCTTGGTATGTCCCAAAATATATATTCCCCTCTATAATCTTGATTTCAGTCAGCCCCTCTCCAATTGCTGCTCCTGTCTCTACGACTTATTCCAACTAGTACTCCAACCCCAACAAGCTTCTGTGGTCAATCTCACTGTCCCCCACTTCCCTCATATCCTCACTTCTCTTCCTAATCAGCTTAAATTCCATGGTCATTCAAATGAATTCCTGGCCCTCTCTTATCAAATGTGGTTGGCTAAAACCCAATCTTGCTTAAATTCAACTCTCTGTCCTACTACCCAGCTGCAACCGTGCAACTGAACATGGGTAGGGAAAATCACACCATGATGCCTACTGATTTCACTTCCAGTGAACGATCACTGGGTGCCAGTAGGTCCTGAATGTTCCTCAGCAATCGCATGCCACCCTCTCAGTCCGATCATGTCCCTCCCACTCAACTACCACTTGACTTCTTCCTTTCAATTTCACTCTCCCCTGATGAATATGTGACTTGTTCATGGAGAAAACAGAAGCTGCCAGATTAGAACTTCCTCCAGGCCCCGACACAGCCCACTGTATCTTCCTTGAAGCCCATACATCTCTCGTCACTATAAATGAACTGGCTGTGTCCAACACTTGCAATAACCAACACTTGTCCACTTGTCTACTTTCCTTAAGTGGACACTCTTGTCTACTAGGAATTCTAGGAAAACTTCTATTTTCTTCTGCACCAAGTATTTCTCTCTCAAAGATTATTCCCATCAGTCGATAGACATGCTGCTGTT